TTGGAGGAGGAGGAAAGGAGGAGAGGGAGAGGGAGAAGAAGGAGAAGAAGGAGAAAGAAATGGAGGAGGAGGAGGAAAGGGAGGAGGAGGAAGAGGTGGAGGAGAAGGAAAGGAGGAGAGGTAGAGGGGGAAGGAGGAGAAGGAGGAGGAGTGCGAAAGGGAGGAGGAGGAAGAGGTGGAGGAGGAGGAAAGGAGAAGGAGAGGGAGAAGAAGGAAGAGGAGAATGAGGAGGACTGTGGGGTCCTTGGTGCTCTATGAGCTTAGTTGTTTTCTTGCAGATATTTCATGACCCAAACAATGACTAACACTGATGACGTTACCTAATTGTGTCATGAAACATCTGCAAGAAAAGAGCCAAGCTCAGAGAGCACCAAGGAGCGCACTCCTTTTCCTTCTCCTCCTTCTCCTTTCTTCCTGATCTGATGAGTCAGGAAACTTACCTGGTCATCTGTTGGATGCACTGTGCTCGATAGTTCTCATAATGGACGTCGCACGTCACGTCTTTCAGGTCGTGCATGTGGGTTCGGATCAGCATGTTTCGTAGCTTCACAAAGTCACAGTGTGCTTGGTTCTCCACTAGGGAAGGAGAAAGATATCCTTTTGGAATTGGGTGGTATGAACAACTCAACCCATCAATAAATGAAAGAGAGTCCACTAATCATTCGGAAAGACACCGAGTCAATGAAGAAAGAGATCTCATTTAGCGCTCAATGTTATCTCTATGATAGACCTCCATCCATCAACAGTCCATATGTCAGGATTCCGGCATTTAAATCATGAGTCTCGAGCCAAACTTCCCAAAAAGAATTTATTGGGAGTTAACAGGCTGGCACTGCCTGGGTGTAGCTGACTCTGAGACACATTGTTCATTGCCACCCTTGACCCTGGTTTTCCCCCCACTTCCTGGGTATATCATAATTCATATTCTCCAATGGGACACATCCATAGCCCAGAGTCATCAATCAGGCTCTCCAGTTAGAATTTTGCGGCGGCAGAAACTTCAGTTGCCTAGTTACTATCTTTGAAAACATTTATGGAATGCACTTTCAGTTTTGAAAGCTGCTGCACTGCTTCCCCTTCCCTTTCTGTTGGCAACTCTAAAAAGACCATAGAAATATTTTATGAGTTGACACCATATCTCTGAAAGGACAACTGGGAACATCTACCAGTCTGACTGGAATATGCCGAGATCAACCAGCATTGGATCTAACCCTAAACTGACCACTTCAGAAACTCGTAACTCCTAAAACTTTCACACTGTTTTGGCCTTCAGAGCTTCACTGCTTCCAAACCTGAAAGTTTCACTTAGATTTCAAAGAAAATAGTTCAGTAGAGCTTGTGAGCTTCTAGAGTTGGTGTTGAAGTCAACAAGACAGCTTACCTTCCACAATGCCCCAAGGGTAGAGTCTTCCTCGGACCCTCTGCCCCTTGGCTTCCACCACCGTGTTGCTACCAATGACCGCAAAGGGCGCACTCTCCTGGTGCAAACACAAAACGTTATGAGAAGTCAGGAGGACCACAACCGAGAGAGGTTGCCTTCCCTGGATGCCCAATCAGACAAGGTTACAAGGTGGACCTGGTTGAAAGTTTAACCAGGTTGATCTCGCTTCTGAAGAGGCAGCAAACATTGGGCACATTTGGGGCAACAAACATCACGTGTTTATTGAGGTAGGTTAAAAACTCACGTTGATCAAAAGGGAAGCAAAAGGGAGCTTCATCGCTGGAGGCTTTCAAGAAACTGGATTGCCATCTGTCAGAAATGGTGCTTGGTCTTAGACTAGATGACCTACAAGGTCCGCCCGCAACTCTGTTAATCTGTTATTTCCAATCCCATGGAATCCCAAATCTGGATTGATTTCCAAATTGAATAAGTCCCAGACTGGATACTTCTGCATCTATTCGGGTCATTGTTTTCCAAAAGAAGTATTAAAAGTATAACAGAGTTGGAGGGACCTTAGAGGCCTTCTAGTCCAACTCCCTGCTTGAGCTATACCATTTCAGACAATGACTATCAATCTCTTCTTAAAAACCTCCAGCGTTGGAGATCCCACAACTTCTGAAGGCAAGCCATTCCATTGATTAATTGTTCTGACTGTCAGGAAATCCCTCCTGAGTTCTAGGTTGCTTCTCTCCTTGATTAGTTTCCATCCGTTACTTCTTGTCCTGCCCTCAGGGGCTTTGGAGAATAGCTTGACTCCCTCTTGAGAAGTGAGAATTGAGAAGTATTTACATTTCCCCCAAGCAAATTGGGAAATTCAAATCAATGCACCTCTATAACTGTCTGGTTTGGCTCTGCAACCCGATAGGACAGGCACAGACGTCAGAGGGTGATTAGGACTGCAGAAAAAATAATTACTACCAACCTCAATCGAGGACCTGTATACTGCACAAGTCAAAAAGAGGGCTGTGAAAATATTTACAGACTCCTCACATCCCGGACATAAACTGTTTCAGACTTGAGTCTAAGAATTATGTTGTTTTGCTCACCTTCAGTTCTCTGTCTTGTTGCTTGAAATCTTCATCTTCATCAGAGTCACATTCGGGAAACTGGTAAACTTTAATTCCGAACTTATCAATCTCTTCCCGGATCTGACAAAAAATGCAACCGTTCAAATCAATATTATACCGTCCTGTATTGCAGTGTATTCTTTGCCTGTTGTGCAGGCAAAAGAGACGTGGTGGCGCAGTGGCTGGAATGCAGTATTGCAGGCTAATTCTGCCGACAACCAGCAGTTCGATCCTGACCAGCTCGAGGTTGATTCAGCCTTCCATCCTTCCGAGGTGGGTAACATGAGGACCCAGATTGTTGGGGGCAAGAGGCTGACATTTGTAAACTGCTCAGAGAATGCTATAAAGCACCGTGGAGCTGTATATAAGTCTAAGTGCTATTGCTATTGTTGTCCTTCCAGGCACAATGACATGAAAACGCGGTTTGGTTTGGCAAAGAGACATTTTTAAGGTTGCCTGACGTCTTAGATAGTTGTTTTATTTACTTTTTGGCAGGATGAACTACATCACTGTCCATAGGGAGAGGCGGAAATACAGCTACCCAGTCCGAAAACAATTTCCTACGTGGATTTCTCTTGAGAAATCACAAGGGGTGAATGCCTAAATTAAACCTCTACTTTTATTACTACACCTAATGATTTTGGAGTGACCCACAAGATAACCCTACCTGATAATCTACTAGCCAATTTGGTCTATTGGTTAAGGTACCAGACTAGAAACCATGAGATGGTATGTTCCAGTCCAGTCTTGGACATAAAAACCAGCTGAGCAACTTTGGCCAATCACTAGGAGATTGGGAGTTGTAGTCCTGACTAAGGCATGAAAGCCAGCTGGGTACAATCACTAGGAGATGGTGAGTTCTAGTCCCACCTTAGCCATAAAAACCAGCTGAGTGACTTTGGGCCAATCACCAGGAGACTGAGAGTTCTAGTCCTGCCTTAGGCATGAAAGCTAACTGGGTGAGTTTGCGCCAATCACCAGGAGATGCTGAGTTCTAATCCCACCTTGGACATGAAAGCCAACTGGGTGACTTTCAGCCAATTCCTCTTTTTCAGCCCAGCCCACCTCACAGGGCTGTTGTTGTGGGGAAAATAAGAGGAGGAAGGAATATTAGTAAGTTTGCCACCTTGAGTTCTTTATACAAATCATAAAAGCGGGACATAAATAAATAAAATAAATAAATTTTTAAAAACCCTTGGAAATAAGCAATTTTTCTGCTCACCCGTTCTTTTAGCTTCTTGATCTCAGAGGGAACAAGGCAGTCGGCTTTCGCAATGAGGGGAACAATATTCACTTTTTCATGGAGCGCCTTCATGAATTCCACATCAACCGGCCTTAATCTGCAACGCAAAAGGGGGCAAAAAAAGGCAACATCTCAATCCAACATGGTTGGCTTCTCAGAAACGAAGCTAGATGGGGTACTAGATAAATTCCCTCCCAGTCGAATTCCAAAACCAGACGGGGAAGCAACAAGGCGAAAGCTAATGTCAGGTTCAAGAACAAGGACAGAGTTTAAAAAATATGAATAGTTTCTTTCATGCTACCTAGGAGGGGTCCTTGAAGTTCTGTTAGCTTGGTTGGGGTTTTTTTACAGATGTTTCATTACCCAAAGTAGATAACATCCACAGTGCTAGTCTCTTCACCAGAAAGGAATGGGATTTGGAGGAGGAGAAGGAGGAGGAGAAAAGGAGAGGAGAGGGGAGGAGGAGGAAGAGAAAAGGAGAAGGAGAAAAGGAGGAAAGGAGAGGAGGAGGAGAAAAGAAGGAGAAGAGGAGGAGGAGGAGGAGGAGGAGGAGGAAGAGGAGGAGGAGGAGAAAAGGAGAAGGAAAAAATAGACAAGAGGAGAGAAGGAGGAGCAGAAAAGGAGAGGAGGAAGAGGAGAAGGAGGAGAAGATAAGGAGAAGGAGAAAAGGAGAGGAGAGAAGGAGGAGGAGGAGAGAAGGAGAGGAGGATAAGGAAGAGAAGGAGGAGGAGAAGAGGAGAGAAGGAGAAGGAGGAGAAAAGGAGAGGAGGAGAAGGAAGAGAAAAGGAAAAGGACTACGATTGCGGGGTCCTTGGTGCTCTCTGAGCTTGGTTATTTTCTTTCTTTCTTTGGGTCAATTAATTACCCAAACAATGACTAGCACTGATGACGTTACCTAGTTTGGGTCATGAAATGTCTGCAAGAAAACAACCCAGCTCAGAGAGCACCAAGGGCTCCTCATTTCAACCCTGGGCTACTAATATTCTTCTTGATTGCCATGCTACCTATACACATCAATCTAAAGCACTAAAGGCAAATTGGCGCCAGATAAGAGTCAAAGGATTTCAAGGGAGATGGGACCTAGGTCTTTTATGGAGGCGTAGAGACTCCAAGCTGATGGTGCATTTGACCCCGCCCTCAGACTCAGCCTGGTTTTCTCCTACAGCAGAGGTCTCCAACCTTGGCAACTTTTGAAACTTGTAGACTTCAACTCCCAGAATTCCTAAGTTCAGGCAGCGTGGCTGACTGAGGAATTCTGGGAGCTGAAGTCCACAAGTATTGAAGTTACCAAGTCCTACAGCATAACAGATGTAGAGGTGGCATCAACACTCACTTCCAAATAAAATGGCTGTAACTGTTGGATCTCGGCCTTACCCGTGTCCAAACGGCGAGATGAAATAGAGGCAACAGTGAACTCGATTGTCTTGGATATTCTTCCGGTTGAGGCCACTCTCATCCCGGAAGTACTGTTCAAACTGCTGATCGATGTAGTCGGTGATCGGCTTCCAACTGGACAATAGTAACAAACAAGGAAAATGAAAGCAATTATAGTTCCCAGCATAAAATAAATACAGGTAGTCCTTGACTTATGACCACAACTGAGCCAGAATAGAATAGAATAGAATACAATAGAATAGAATACAATAGAATACAATACAATACAGAATAGAATAGAATAGAGAATTCAATAAAGAATAGAGTAGAGTAGAGTAGAGTAGAGTAGAGTAGAGTAGAATAGAATAGAATAGAATAGAATAGAATAGAATAGAATAGAATAGAATAGAATAGAATAGAATAGAATACATTACAATACAATACAATACAGAATAGAATACAATACAATACAATAAAGAATACAATAAAGAATAGAGTAGAATAGAGTAGAGTAGAATAAGTAGAGTAGAATAGAATAGAATAGAATAGAATAGAATAGAATAGAATAGAATAGGAGAAAATGAATAGAATAGAATACAATTAAGAATAGAGTAGAATAGAATAGGAGAAAATGAATAGAATAAAGAATAGAGTAGAATAGAATAGGAGAAAATGAATAGAATAGAATAAAGAATAGAGTAGAATAGAAGAAAATGAATAGAATAGAATACAATAAGGAATAGAGTAGAATAGAATAGGAGAAAATGAATAGAATAGAATAAAGAATAGAGTAGAGTAGAATAGAATAGGAGAAAACGAATAGAATAGAATACAATAAAGAATAGAGTAGAGTAGAATAAAATAGAATAGGAGAAAATGAATAGAATATAATAGCAGAGAACAGAACAGAACAAAATAAAATGAGCTGGAAGGGAACTTGGAGGTTTTCTAATCCAGCCCCGCTAATCAAGTTTTGTACAAATTCGAACAAAGAGAAGGTAGGACTCACCAATCTGAGTTGTTGACAGCATCTCCGAAGCCTGGCGTGTCCACTATCGTCAGCTTCAGCTTGACCCCTTTCTCTTCGATGTCCACCGTATGCTTCACGATCTCTACTGTCTGATTTATTCTTTCTTAAGAGACAAAGACCAAGGAAAAACAACCATGGAGGTAGGTTAAGCGCCGTGATCTTCTCCAAGTCCCAGCTCAGGGGTCAAGTCAACCCCAGGTTGCATCTACTCTCCCTTTCCTCCGAATTAGCCAATGTGTTGGGTAGCCTTGGCAGGTCTAACAACAGTTGGCGAAGGCCACATAACCGTGTCCACTACACCCCATTCTGCCCAACCCATCGCGGGTGTTCAACCTGGCTGGCCCTCCAGGGACACTTAACTGTGGCTCACCTGCCCCAAGTGACCCATTGCCCCCAGGGGTGAAGTTAGCATGGCCCTGTGGGCCCAACCATTTGCCCCAGTCTGGGTGTTGGCTAAGTGAGTGCCAAGACAATGGTAAACCATCTTCTGTACTTTTAAAAAAATATTTTTATTGAGCATCTTCCTAAATTTTACATTGCAATTTTAATTTTGCAACAATTGATATGCTGGTTGTATCAGCACCTTTTAAAAATATACATGTTGTGATACATCCTAGTTATGACTGTTTTTCTCTTTTCATACATAGAAAAAAGAATAAAAGCTTGCTATTATACAACCTACTTATGTCTATTGTACCCATAGTTATAACATACTTCTCTATAGATTTATCACTCTATATATTTTGATTTGCAATTATGTACAATCTAGTACCAATATTGCTTACAATACGTATCCTTTTATATAGCTGTAATATCTGTACTTGTTCCTAATTTGTTGATTCTCTTCCGTCATCCATTTTCTAACCTTTGCATCTCTTGTCTAGCCAATTGTACCCTGGGTCCCATATTAGGTAATACCCTGTTTCGCCTTTGTCTTTAATTTCCATCATTAAACCTGCCCATTTTGGCGCATTCTAATATTTTCTTTATTGCCCTTTCCTCTGTGGGCGAGGGTTAGGGTTACTACTGTACTTTTACCAAGAACGGACAGGATATTCATGGAGAAAAATCTGTGTGATTGACAACAGTCAACAAGGACTTGATGGCACAGGTCAATCAATCAATCAAAATCAAGGACAACATAGGTTTCAGTTTCAATTTACATGGTCGGGAATTGTGCTGATTGCAAGGACTAAGGAAGAGTGGTACCCTCAGCGTTGAGAAGTTTTCGGTCTTTGTAGAGATCCGTCAGAAAGAGGCTGTTCACCAAGGTTGATTTGCCCAGACCAGATTCCCCTAAAAGAACAACAACAACAAAATCAAACAATTCTTTTAAACAAAAACAAAAAAAAATTGGAACGAGTCTTGAATCTTCAGAAATGCCATAGCAGAACTGACACTTTCTCTCTGTACCTGATATTCTTATTTAGAACAATCTGTCCTTGGAGAGAGACAATATTCCAGTCTAGTTTTTAATCTCCATTCTCAGGGAGGGGAAGAGGAGAGGAGAGAAGGGAAAGGAAGGGACGAGGGAATGGTGGGAGAGAGGGAAGGGAAGGGAAGGGAAGGGAAGGGAAGGGAAGGGAAGGGAAGAGAAGAGAAGAGAAGAGAAGAGAAGAGAAGAGAAGAGAAGAGA